TATATATTCCCACAGCAGAAAGTCTAACGGTGTGATATCTCCTGACTTTGGAGTCAAACGACCGGCCAAAAACCTGAAACTATCTGCTAACCGAAGTGTTCTCCCAATAAATCGCCGTCTTGTTGAAACCAATGTTGTAGAGTTCACAAGCTTCAAGGTATCAAATAGTCGGTTATCATGGCGCGATAACGGTTTCCATTGTTATGCTCTTCGGCATGAAAGAATATGGACCGATGACTCCACCGGCTCACAAACCACATTAACCCGCTGTTTTTTCTGGATGAAATGGCAGTTTTTCAATTTGTTCACTCTGCTCTTCGTCACAAATGTAGCAAAATTGATTGTTTACATACCGATTGATCCAAAAATGACCTCAATCGCTGTACAAAATCAGACCTTTAAGACGGGTGTGTTAAAAATTCCCAGAAACTATTTGCCAAACAGTGTATAACCAGTCTTGTTGTGATTGCAAATTATTGGCTGCAATCTAGTCGCGAATTCCGTGCTTTTTTTTTTTTTTGCATTCAGTCGCTCGTTTCAATTTGAAAATATTTTGTTGGTAGCTTTACCCATTAATGGTTTAAGTCCTTCCAAAATCAGAGCATTATCTTAGCCTCATGGTATTCGGCCGTTGATTTGGCTAGTTGGCGTTTAGTGTAGTTGACATGGGTACATTTTTCATCACCAGCAGCAACTAAGCAAAAACGACATTTTTTGCTGCGTTTCTGACGTGGCTTTAACTACTATTGGCTTCAATTCCTTTCTTTTGAATTTATTCAGCTGCTTTTAAACRTTTTGAAWCGGCTGCTTAAGTGACTATAAAAAATTCTGCGAACTCTTAGGTTTGGCAACAATATTCATTGAGCTATTTTTCTAGTTCTTTTTTTTCAAACTTTTTAGGCTGCTACTCTTCTTCCGAGACAATATGACCGCTCATGATGCAACGAATAAACTTCCACCAAAATACCATGGTTTTCTGCTGAGGTTTCTTTCGTATTAAAATTATAAAATTCGTTTTCTCGTTTCTCTTCAAAATCAATTTTTCAAGTAAAGAGTTCGACATATTTGCTTGAAAAAAAAAAAAAATTATTCGCATAACGCATAAAAATCTATTGACACCTTCATGCCTGGCATTTTCAGGACACTGAGCATTGATTTGATTCGCAGTGCTTATGAGCACCTAGGGTAAGGCTGTCGTCAGCGGACGTTGTCTGTCTGTCTATCTGCATATATAACATAAACGCGACCTCAGTTTTTCAGATATCGATCTGAAATTATACACACGGCCTTTTCTCCCCAATTTGTCGGAACCGTCGATTTCGGACCACTACAGCATATAGCTGTTATACAAACTGAACCATCAAAATCAAGTGGCTTGTATGGAAAACTTTTTAATGGGACAAGATATCTTCAAGAAATTTTTCATGGATTATTGCCAAAGGCAATGCTACAATCTCTGAAGAAATAGTTGAAATTGGATCACTATAGCATATAGCTGCCATACCAGCTGACTGATCAAAATCAAGTTTTTATCTTTAATCTTGTGTATTTGTGAAGTGTATTATTTTATCATTACCTTATCTTCGGTGCAGTTGTGTAAACGTTTTTTTCTTTGTTTATGCTATTTTCGTCAGAAATAAAACAATTTTTTTTGGCTTTTCAAAGCCCTTGCGGGCCTTACTATATGCTCTCATTTATTTATGTACTTGTTTTCTTATTTCTTGCACATATAATATTTAGTTTACATATTTAATTACATATTATGATAAGGTTTCAAAATCTTGAATACGAAGTATAGAACACAAAAAATGGAATTTTCAAATGAAAACAATTCTCATATATTCGCTCAGCAAATGCGGCTGCATCCATTTCAACGCTTACTTTGCTTCATTTTCGTTTTTATTAAATTACACTTATAAATATGATAATAGTGTATATATTTTTTGTAATTAGAAAATTTTCACATGCATTACAAATTTAGTTATGGAATTTCAAATACTCAGGTTATGGAAATGACTTTAGTGTTCCGCAAAGTATTGGAAAAAAGATGATTTTTTGTTGTAATTTAAAATAATTAAATTTTGCTTTACACATATGAATTTGTTTTTTAATGGCTTAGTATATATATGTTAATACATTGAGATTTACACAAATGATTGACTCATTAAGGGATATGCATTAGTTCAATACTTCTTCTGCCATAATTGCAATAAATTCAATAATTTTTAGCTTAAAGATTTCTTTAATTGCATTTTATATTATTTCATAAACTTAATGTTAGTGTTATTTCTCTTTGATTTAACAA